TTTTTTTTTTTTTTTTAAGAATCAATAAGTAACGTGATAGAAATGATAAACAACCTACTATAATTAATTAGACCATGTTAATTAATCGTGTAAAAAAATCTTTATATTATCAATAACAATAATAAGTCACTTCATACTTTATATATGTGAAAGTTATTATTAATGATGCATGAATATTGTGTCTTTCTCGAGAAAGAGACATGCTGCTACCTGATACAACATCAGAATATCTAGATATTATGGTCATATAATTTGCACGGAAGCTAGAACTTTTCATTGTTTACAAATAAAGAAAGAAAGAAACATAACTTAGTATCTAATCATGACAGTTTCATAAAATTTGTAAAAGCTCTACATAATAACAAGAGGAACGAAAGAAACATAAATTTTCAAGCAAATGAATACTTCAGTAGGCCAAGCTATGGCTCAAATGGATAAGTTTGCTTAGATGATATTTTGGTTTTTTGTGTAATATATATATATATATTTGAGATAAGGAAAAGTCTTCCCTACCAATCTTTACACTGCTTAGATCCCAACATATAATTCCAAGCACATGCAGACATTTTGTATAGTATTGTGCTTGTCCAATTCAAACATTGTTTTTGTGGAGGCTAGGTTTTATGTTCCTCTTTTTATTTTTTGAATTTTAATTTACTAAGTAGGGGTTTATATCAAATCCTACTCCACTTCAAGGTGTCACTAAAATAACAATAATAAAAAGAATTTTAGTAGGCTACAGGGTGTGAGAAAGAAATTGCTTGAGCACGATATTAATTTGATGGTTAAAAATCAAAAAATACATATATCTATATATATGAGCAAGAAAAAGATCTGTAACTTATTTTTAATGTGTGGTAGAGCATACAAAGTTCATTTAAATATTGCCATGTTAGATCATTCTGACCTATATACAGTGGAAGCAGAGGCGGACCTACCTTAGGGTAGGGGTTATCACCGCCCCAATAATTTAAAAAAAAATGTATATATATATATATATATATATTAAATAATACGTATATATTTTGATGGACACCCAGACTCAAAGTTTAGACAATTACATTGGTTGATTAGGGGACACAACTTGACTTTAGTACATTGCTTGGGTTCAGTTCCGACTCAAACTTTTATTTGATGGTACCGTTTCCTGCCACTTTTAAATTCTGGATTTGCGTCTAAGCGAAAGGAAAAAAGTAGATGAAGAAGCGTATGCCAAACACTACTACATGACTAGCTAGCTAGTACCTAAAAGAAAGAGGAATACTACAGGTGTTCTTTTAATTTTTACTTTTGGTTCGGAGAGGTCCATATACCAGATACGAGGAAGGGGAGTAAAAAAGTATTACAGAATCTAACACTTGCAACATACTCCCTTTGTCTTGTGCCATATTTTCCCTTTTAGTCTAGGAAAAAGATACTTTTTAATATTTAAAAAAAAAATAGATTTCACTTTTTATCTTAATGATATAACTTATAGATACATAAATGTCTATGATTTTTTTAAATTTAATTTCGTAACTAGCCAAGCAATATTACATAAGTTAAATACGAGTTGAGAGTTCTAACAATGAATACCCAATTCTCAGACATTAAATTCACTGGATCTGTATAAAAAAAATGACCAATCAAGTACATTATACTATTGATTATGCTTTCTTGTCAGATCCACTTTCAATGTAATCATCACAAAACATGTAACAAGTGTTACAACGTTGAGAAACAGACATATGTATGATGTGAGGGGCGGATCTATATGCTAGTTGTGGTGCAAGTGAACATAAATTATTTTCTAAAATCCTAAAAAATTGTAGACATATTATTTATTTATACTGTGAACCTATGTGCATGGCTAATTGAACATTGCACTGAGCTTAGGTCACTCATAAAATCACGGTTAATAATTTCTTTGTGAAAATCATCACTCATTTTTACAACGGCGACCCTTTTTTCTTTTGTTTCTTCCTGGAAAAACTAAATTCAATTAACACCTTCTTTAGAAAAGCTTAATTTTCATCAAAACAATATAATATGCACTTTCCTTATATGTTAACATTTTGTTTCCTAATTTTGCTTTCAATTTTACTTAATAGATTGAAAAGAAAGAAAAATTAAACTATCTCTGGTCAATAATAAGTTGGTTTGTATATAACCAACACTTCATAACCCGAAAATCAACCAAACTAATTGTATGTACGCTCAGATTTTGTATAGCTAGTGGCACATCTATCTATATTTAAAAAAAGAAAAATCGTGGATCTGCCAATAAATAACCTATTGCTATAACATATGAAAATCTAAGTTTCAGTTACAAGAAGAATCTTGCATATATATAATTCATCGAGAAACAAAGTTCTACCTCTAGATTCTTGGCTTGAATTAATGCTTTGTTACCTAGAAACTACGTGAATATAGAACCTCGATTTACGGATCAAGTAAATCGATCTAGACAATATAGGTCAAGAAATTGATCTTACCTTAACGATATAACAATTTATAGCCACAACAATGTCTAACGATATATATACAAGTTTAAAACTCTTTTTTTTTGTTTAACCCTTGTTTCTGGTCAAACACCTTCATATATACTACCTCTGTCCCGATAACAATTTGCTTCTCGAGAGTTAAATTATGTGAACTTTGATCATTATTTTAAAATACTCCTATATCGTTTTGTTACATTGACATGAGAAGATTGCAACTTGCAATATTTTTCGTAGAGTTTTTTAATATCAGAATTTTAATTTTAAAATATTGAATTGATCTAATCTAAACTAGCTTTAACATGACAATTAGCTTGGGGCGGAGGAGTATATATAGTCGAACCTCTCTATAACATCCATCTTTTATACCAATATTTTACTATAACAACCAAGTTTCTTTTTTGGAACCAATTTTTCATGTTATCTTATATTATATGTTTTCTATAATAGCATTTCGCTATAGCAGTCAAAAAATATCGAGACAAATGACGCGAGAGATTTGACTCTAGCTTAGAAGTACAACTAACTAGTTAAAAACCCTAATTTTTTTAGGGTGCCACTGACCTTTAAATTTGTAACACTATTTGTTGCTGAAGCTTCTCCATCACTGGCTTTATACTCATTCATCTTCCATAGGGTCTTCTTCCCATTTGGAGCTCTTCCTTTATAGAAAACCATAGTTCTTTTGCCTCCAATAATTCTATTATTTGATGAATATACATAACCAGGAGTTCCAGTAGCTTTCCAATATCCTTCTGTTGTAAGCCTAGTAGGTCTCCCTCCTCTAGCTTCCCTATCTTGAATTGGAATGAAGAAAAACCATTGCTCTGAGTCATCTCGAATTCCTTCTCCGGCCATTTCTGGTTCAAGAATCACATGGCGAAGAAGAAGGGTTTAAACAAAAAAAAAGAGTCTAACTTTTATGAACTACTGACAATAAAAATAAATTACACTATTAGCTAGGTCATCTAAGATAGCTAGAGGTAGTTGTCCAAAAGAAGTAAGATTCGCAACCTCAAAGCAGGTTAACGTGCTGGTCAAAATACACTAATAGCGTAAAAAAGATATTAATTAAAATTGTTGTCAAGTGCATATGTAAGGTAAATGCTACAAAAGATTAGGTTTTTCTTTCTCTACAAAGATTAGGTTTAGCAATAAAAAAACACATGACTCGGAAAAATTTCATAAAATGAAGGTTATTAACAAATTCTTAATCTTTTAGACTGCAAAAATTGATGCTTGAGATGATAATTAAACCATCGCATAATCAAAAACAAAATCAGATAACTAAAATTGAACAAAAGGTTAAACTTGAATGGTTTTGAGTATCATATATAGTATATGGTATGTGTGTGTGTGAGAGAAGAAAGAATTATGATGATGCAATAACCTGGAAGTTGACATGGATTGTGTTGATATATATTAACAACAGGTATAACACGTTGAATGTCCAATTCTCTTTTGCCATTAAGCTTATTTCTCAAATAAAAATCCACCAACTCCTCTTCTGTAGGATAGAACCTAAATCCTGGTGGTAGTAGATTGCTATTATCATACATCTCCATTTTTGCAAACACAAATCTTCAAATATTTGTGTATTTCTCTTCTTGAGTCTCTCTTTTTTTCTTTTCTTTTTCACTCTCTCTCTAGTTTTTTTTTATGCCTTTACCTTGTGCATGCCATGGTCTGGTCTAGCTGAGTATTTAAAGAGTTAAAATGTGAGGAAAAAAAGGTTTTTTTTTTT